GGATTTAGAAAAAGCAGAGGAACCAGAGATCAAATTACCAATAGCTGCTGGATCCTAGAAAAAGCAAAATAATTTTTTTTTAAATCTACTTCTGCTTCATTGACTATGCTAAAGCCTTTGACTGTGTAGATCACAACAAACTGTGAAATATTCTTAAAGAGATGGGACTACCAGACTACCTTCCCTAATAGCTCAGTTGGTAAAGAATCTGCCTGCAATGAAGGAGACACCTGTTCGATTCCTGGGTTGGGAAGATCCGCTGGAGAAGGGATAGGATACCCACTCCAGTATTCTGGCCTGGTGAGTTCTATGGACTATATAATCCATGGGGTCGCAAAGAGTTGGACATGACTGAGTGACTTTCACTTTCACTTTACCTACCTCCTGATAAACCCATATGCAGATTAAGAAGCAACAGTTAGAACCAGACACAGAAAAACTGCCGGTTCCAAATTGGGAAAGGAGTATGTCAAAGCTGTATGTTGTCACCCTGCTTATTTAACTTATATTCAGAGTACATCATGTGAAATACTGGGTTGGATGAAGCACAAGCTGGAATCAAAGTTGACCGGAGAAATAGCAACAACCTCAGATATGAAAATAATACTGTTTTAACAGCAGAAAGTGAAGAGGAACTAAAGAGCCTCTTGATGAAATTGAAAGAGGAGAGTGAAAAAGCTGGCCTAAAACTCAACATTCAAAAAACCAAGATCATGACATCCAGTTCCATCACTTTATGGCAAATAGATAGGGGAACAATGGAAACAGTGACAGACTTTATTTTCTTGGTCTCCAAATCACTGCAGATGGTGACCACAGCCATGAAAATTAAAAGATGCTTGCTTCTTGGAAGAAAAGCTATGACAAATTTAGACAGTGTATTAAAAAGCAGAGACATCACTTGGCCAACAAAGATTCTTGTAGTCAAAGCTATGGTTTTTTCCAGTAGTCATGTAGGGATGTGAGAGTTGGACCATAAAGAAGGCTGAGCAGTGAAGAATTGATGCTTTTGAATTGTGGTGCTAGAGAACACTCTTGCGAGTCCCTTGGGCTGCAAGGAGATCAAACCAATCAATCCTAAAGGAAGTCAATCCTGAATATTCATAGGAAGGACTGATGATGAAGCTGAAGTTCCAATACTTTGGCCACCTGATGCAAAGAGCTGACTTACTGGAAAAGATCCTGATTCTGGAAAAGACTGAGGGCAAGAGGAGAAGGGGGCATCAAAGGATGAGATGGTTGGATGGTATCCCTGACTCAGTGGACATGAGTTTGAGCAAACTCAGGGAGATAGTGAAGAACAGGGAAGCCTGGTGTGCTGCAGTTCACGGGGTTACAAAGAGTTGGACATGACTGAGTAAACAACAGTGCATATAAAAGCTAGGTGTACACTACACAGTAGTCTGTGAAGTGTGCAATAGCAATGTGTCTAAACACAATGTATCTGCCTTGACTAAAAAAATGCTTTGTCACTAAAAAATGCCAACCATTAGTCAGTCTTCTGCATTAGTCAGTCTTCTGCAAGTCTTAGTAGTAAAATCAAAGATCACTGAGGGACTTCCCTGGCAGCCCAGCAGTTAAGACTTCTTCCAGTGCAGGGGGTGGGGGCTAAAATCCCCCATGTTTTAGGGCCAAAAAACCAAAACATAAATCAGAAGCAATATTGTAACAAATTCAATAAAGATTTTCAAAATGGTTCACATAAAAAATATCTTTTAAAAAATCACCATAACAAATAAGATAATCAGGAAAATCTTTGAAATTACCAAAATGTGACACAGACATGAAATGAGCAAATACTGTTGGGGAAATGGCTCAGATGGACTTGCTCGATGCAGAGTTGTCACAAACCTTCAAGTTGTAGAAAGAAATGCAATAAAGAGAAGTATAATAAAAGGAAGTCTGCCTGTGGTCCCCATTCTCTTTGGGGCCCTATTCTCTGTGGGGTGTGTGAAAAAGCAAAAGGTACAGTAACCACTGAAGGGTGATGAAAGACATTCTCTAATCTGAATGATTGATGTGCCCTGAAAACTTACCAAGAATTCCTTGATGTTAGGGAAGACATCTTTCCAGCTAAGTGCCCAGAAATGAACATGAATTGAAGTAGGGATTCAGTAAAATGATCCTTGAGTGGATAAATGAACACCTGAATATTTCATCATCTTTGAGATCAGTTCTTTCTTGTAGATGATGTGTAGTTTAAAACCTTGTCTTCACTTTACTGAGCACAGGAAAGTCGTCATGACAACTTCATCAAAATATTAACAAGGACAAGTATTCGATTTAAACAACTTCCCCGTAACTTTGTCTCTCAGGCAGAAAAGATCAAAATTTTCTTCTCAGGATGCTTTGTTTCCCCTGTTTGCACAATTGGCAACAGCACACAAGCATTCAACTGTGTATTCTTTTCACACTTGCAAATGACAATGACCGTCAGAGATGCCATCTAACTCCTTGCTACTCAGAGCGTGGTCTGTGAATCAGCAGCCACACCATGACCTGTGATCTTGTCAGAAATACAGGCTTCAGGGATTTTCCTGGTGATCCAGAGGCTAAGAGTCCACACTGTCAGTGAAGGGGCCTAGGTTCAATCCCTGGCCAGGGAACTAGATCCCATATGCCTCAACTAAGACTCAGTGCAGCCAAATAAATAAATGAATAAATAAACATTCAAAAATAGATAAAATAAAACTTGACTTAAAAAAAAAAGAAATATAGTCCTCAGGCCTCACCCCAAACCTGAATCAGAACTTTTATTGAACAAATCCTAGTTAACTCATATGCATATTACAGTTTTGGAAGCACTGGTCTGCAGTCAGCTCATTACGTGTGCTCGACCTGGAAATGGGTTTTATGGATCTGTTTAAACCTGGGGGTTTTTATAACCAGTGTCTTTCCTTTTTATCTGGGATATTATTACCATTCAGTTCAAATTAACAGTATTGAGACTGAAGGATTCATCTATGGCTTCTTGGTCTAGTTCATAAACCAGAACCACAAGTTCACAAACCAAGGAGGATTTAGAGAAAAGCAGGTGGGGGCAGGAGGGAGAAATGTGAGGAAACTGGGTACTAGTGCACATGTATTTTTAAAAAATATTTCAGAAGCAGAACTTCTCTATTTTTTAGCAAGCAAAGCACTGGCTGTGCTGTTTTTCAAGGTAAATTGTCAAACTTCATTATATTTTTTCCCCTCTATTATGCTTTTTTCCTCCTTAAGATCCTTTACTTTCAATTTGTTTGAAATGCACCTGGTTAGATACCAGGTAACTTGTGATGGTTGGGACCATGAGAGCATCCACGTCACTTTTGCAATGTGAGATTTTAATTAAGGAAAGTGGAATAGCATGAGGTCAGAGTCCCTAAATTTCTGGCCCTGTTATAGACATTCATGAAGTAACATGGGTTTGGGGATTCCAGAAGTTAAAAAATGAGAGTGTTAATCTGTCAGTTGTGTCCAACTCTTTGTGACCCCATGGTCTGTAGAATTCTGTCCATGGAATTCTCCAGGCTAGGATACTGGAGTGGGTTGCCATTTCCTATTCCAGGGGGTCTTCAAGGGTTCATTCATTCAAGGGTTCATATAGTTCATTCTACTTTCTCAAAACAATGGTTTTTGTTAGCATTAGAGTGATCTGGTCAGCAGAATAATGTCCCCTATACCCGCCACTCTGGTCTTGGCCTCAAAATGCCACATCCTGATCCCTGAACCCTGTGAATAGATTATGGCATATGGCAAGGGGGAGTTTTGCTGCTGTTATTCAGTTGCTAAGTCATTTCCAACTCGTGAACCCATGGACTGCAGCCTGCCAGGCTCCCCTATCCTTCACTAGCTCCCTTTGCTCAGATTCATGTCCATTATGTAGGAGATGCTATCTAACCATCTCATCCTCTGCCGCCCCCTTCTCCCTAAGGTTGCACATAGAATTAGGATTGTAACCAACTGACCTTGAGATGGGAAGATCATCCCAGATGATCTGTGTGGGCCTAATGTAATCACAAGGGTCCTTACATATGAAAGATGGAGGCAAATGTGTCAGTGTCCTCATCAGAAAGAGTCAGAGGGAGGCAGCGTGAGAAAGTCTTGACCAGAATGACTGGGTTTGCAGATGGAGAGGAGTGAGTACCCAAGAGATATGTCCAGCCTCTGGACAAGGATGAGGCTGGAAAACCCTTTCTCCCCAAGAGCCTCCAGAGAAGCAGCAGCCACATACGCACTTTGATTCTAGCCCAGTGAGACACATTTCAGACTTCTGACTTCCAGAAATGTGAGGTAGTGCATGCCCATTCTTTTAAATAACTAGATTTGTGGCTTTTCATTATAGCAGCAATGGGAAACTAATACCTATTTTGGTCCCAGGAATTGGGATCCTGCTGTAACAAATCCCTAAAATGTAAAGTAGCTTTGGAGTGGGGCAAGACTGGAAGAATTTTGTGGAGCATGATTTTTTTAAAAGCCTGGGTTACTTGGAATGTCTTGAGAAGTGGAATATTACCTGGAATGTCAGTAAACAAAGGACGTCACAGTCCTCAGTGATTGCAGCCACCATAGGTGGTGAGCCCAGAGGAAAACACAGGACGTAGGCCCCAGACAGCTGAGGCGCCCCAGACAGTTCACTGAATGATTTCAGTGAACCCAGACTCTTGCATCTTCCCGTGCATAGAAAAGCACTAAATCCCTTAACTTGGGATATCTGATTCTCTTCCGTTAACAATAATCTCTTGATGTTCAGACTACCTGCCCTTTGTTGCCAAACCTCCTTATAACCTGGTTCCTCCCCTCGCCTCCTCAGAGAAGTTCTCTCAGGGTTTCTTGAGATGCTGCCTCCTGGGCTCAAGTCCTAAAAATTTCTGTTGAATGCAGTATAACTCTGTCCCAGGCTATGAATATTTTTAAGCTTATAGTACTGTTAGTAAACATATGACTGTTAACTCTGCTAGTGAGGAGTCAGAAGCAGGGCAGAGAAAGCCTCCATAATCTGAGAGAACTCCTAACACATCATGAATAATCTGCTGGCAAAAGTACTGCCCGGGAAGGCACAGATGGAAATGAACCCGTTATCAGAAAATGGAGGAAAGGAGATCCTTACACAGTGGCAGACATCAGCAGCATTGTCGTCTGCAGCTTATGTAGCAACGAAGAATTTGGATATTCACCAGAGGCAATTTCTAAGCAATGTGTTGAAGGAACAGGCTGGCTTCTTCTTGCTGCTTGCTGGAAAATGTGAAAGGAAAGAGACAACTTGAAGGAAGAACCATTAAGCAGAAAGAAACCAGGACTTGGTGATTTGAGAAATTCTCAGCTTATCTGGCTGCCACGCCGTTCTCTTCTAGATGATGTCCTCTTGCTTTGGCAAGCCTGAGAGGTTTTGTTAATTCTCATATTTGAAAAATCTGCTAAACGTATTAATACAACAGATCCCTGTATTTTAATTTTATGTCCCAGAGTATTAATTATATTGACTTTTTTAGCCCTGCTATCATTACATAACACTGCTATTCATAAATTGTTTGTGCTCCAAAAGGAAGCCAAAATGTTCTTTTATGGATCTCAACATATTTAATGCTGCTTTTAAAATGCTTCCCTCACAGGAATAACTTACCACTGCACTGACTTCAGGAAATTGAGAGGAAAACGTAAGATAGAAACAGTGACAGAAAAAGGTCCTGAGATAAATGGACTAATGGATACTGCAAAATAAACTTTGGCAAACTAGTTCAAAGGTATTTATTGAGTGTAACTACGTTGGATTGCAAAGAGTCAGACAAGACGAAGCGACTAAGCACAGCACATGTTATGTAAAGATATTTGTAAAAAAAATATGTAAAAGATATTTCATATGAGCAAAACTTGACAGGTTTAAAGAGGACAGTCCAGTCACACGAAGATATGTTGTCCGAAAAGAAAAAAAGAGTCCACAACTAAGGTAAAGCTTTTATTCTAACTTAGTTACAAAATACACTTAGGGAAATTCCATTGGTTAGGACTCTACCCTTTCACTGCCAAAAGACTGGGTTCAATCCCTGGTTGGAGAACTAAGATCCCACATGCCGCATGATGTGGCCACATAAATTAAAAAAAAAATTTTTAATACACTTAGTTTTCAATATTGCTCTTTCTCCCCCAGTTTAGTCCCTCAACACCACACCCTGCTCTTACAAGTCTTCGAGGTTTTCCAAAATTGATCATATGAAGACAGACTATTTTCTGAGTCCTTGACTTTAGTCTTTTTTAAATAGAAAAATGAAACTAGCTGCCAACAAAAAAAGTTACTTGAGTTACCCCAAATAGGAAACAACTCAAATGTCCAGTAACAAATGGGTGGATGAGCAACTTACAGTACATCCGTAAAATGAAATACAGCTCAGTAGCAGAAAAGAAGCTACTAACCTAGACAGCAACACAGATGAATCGCAGAAACGATGTTGAGGAAAAAAGAAAAACAGGCAAAAAAGAGTACATGTGTCTTGTTTCCATTTATATGAAATTCTAGGGAAGGTAAAACCAAATCTATAGTGATGGGCAGACCCTGGTTGCCTAGACCCAGGGTTGGGAATTGCCAATAAAGGGGCAGAAGATACTTTCTGACTGGTGGAAATGTTCCACATCCTGATTGTGGTGGGGATGATGAGGGTGTATGTATTTATCAAAATTCATCGAATTTTGCACTTAAAGTGGGTGTTTTATTGTATGTACAGGTGGTGCTAGTAGTAAAGAAACTACCTGCCAATGCAGGAGATGTAAAAGATGTGGGTTCAATCTCTGAATCTGGAAGATTCCCCTGGAGGAGGACACAGCAACCCACTCCAGTATTCTTGCCTGGAGAATCCCATGGACAGAGGAGCATGGATGGCTACAGTCCACAGGGTCACAAATGATTGCACATGACTGAAGTGACTTAGCACGCACACACACTTATTTCAATAAAGCTGGCTTTAAAATGAGAGCTGAAAACAACAACTTCCAAAGTTATTTAAAGAAGGATGAATGAATTATTTTCTGAGGTTGTAAATGTTAATCGTCAGGAAAGAATCATAGTAGATTGCACTGTAGGGTGTAATTATGTATTAGACACTGTTCCAAGCACTCTATATGTTAGGTCATTCTTTTCTTCCAGGAATCCTTTGAGGTGAATACTATTATTATATCTGCTTTACATACAAGAAAATTGAAGTATAGGGAAATTAACCAATTTCCCCTAAATCCACAGGTAGCAAGTGGCAAAAGCAGGGCTCAGACTCAGGTGGCTTAGTTCTAAAACTAGAGTGTGAATCCCTCTGGCCATCTTGCAAAGAGCTGGCTAATTGTGCAAGACAAAGAAGCCCAGGCAAGGCTGATGAAATCTGATTCTCTGGGTACTTGCAGGTCCCAGGACCTACATTTTAACAAGCACCTATAGATCATTCTGATGCTGAGGGTCACAATCAGAAACACTGAATATTTCATGGTAGTAAAGATGTCTTAGTGAAGAAGTCCCTGGGTGGGTACACATTCCCGACACTGTTATGCAATAGGATTTTCAACACTGGCACTTCAAACTGTTTATATACTCCCTTAATTTCCTTGTTTGACGCTAGTTTAAGTTGCATGTGAGCAGTGAAGAACATGAGTTTCAATAGCTTTATGTCATTATGGAATAGTTAACTAAACTGGTAAAATAACGAGTTTCCATTTATTTATGCACTTATAGAATGAAAGAGAGGAGACACTGATGCAGAGATAGAGGGTAGAAAGAAAGGAAGGGAGGGAGGGAGGAAAGAAGGAGAGAAAGGAAGATTCCTGAAATAAGTAGACAAAGCATTGGAAGTATATTAATAAAGCTGCTTATAAAAGAAAATAAGGCAATCACACTCAGGTAACCTTATCCCAATTATTCAAATGTTACCAAAACTTGACTTGTCACACCTTCCTTTCATGGCAAGGCATATTAGAAAATAAGCCTTTAACAAAAAGCTGAAAATTCCTTAGCATCTGCATGTCTGGTCAGTGGTGTTTGGAAAAAACCCCAGAACTCCTACAGATGAAGCATCTTCCTTACCAGGCTGAGCATCTCCCGATTTCAGGGGGTCCTGCAAAGCTGAAATGAAATAGAGTTTAAAAAAATCACAGCCTTAAAAGAATAACACTTTTAGAGGAATGCATTTAATCCAAATGAGAAGAGGTTTTTATGTAAATACGAATACAGGAAAATCTTTGAGTCCTTCAGTTTTTAAATTTATTTTTAATTGAAGGATAATTGCTTTAGAGTATTGTATTGGTTTCTGCCAAACATCAACATGAATCAGCCATAGGTATACATATGTCCCCTCCCTCTTATAAGTCCCTCCCACTTCCCTCTCCATCCCACCCCTCTAGGTTGTCACGGAGCCCTGGTCTGAGTTCCCTGAGTCAAACACCAAATTCCAATTGGCTGTCTATTTTACATATGGTAGTGTATATGTTTCCATGCTACTCTCTCCATTCATCCCACCCTCTCCTCCCACCTCACCCCATATCCATAAGTCTGTTCTTTAAGTCCGCATCTCCATTTGAGCCCTTAAGTTTTAAGAGGAACATTCCAAACCAATATGACATACTGACCTATAGGAAAGAGAGCCATCTATATAGAAAAATATGTTTTCAACATTGTTTTTTTGGTAAAAGGAACGAAAAGAATATTCTAGTCAGTAACGTGCCCTGTCTCCTTTCAAATATTGTAACAGATAAAATTTCTCTGCTTTCACAGTATGGAGAGTCCTTTAAAAACTAAGACTAAAACTACCATATGACCCAGCAATCCCACTCCTAGGCATATACCCTGAGGAAAACAAAATTGAAAAAGGCACATGTACTCCAACATTCATTGAAGCACTATTTACAATAGCTAGGACATGGAAACTCCCTAGAAGTCCATCAGCAGATGAATGGATAAAGAAGCTGTTGTACATATATACAATGGAGTATTACTCAGCCATAAAAAGGACCACATTTGAGTCAGTTCTAATGAGGTGAATGAACCTAGAGCCTATTATACAGAGTGAAGTAAGTCAGAAAGAGAAAAATATCATATACTAACACATACATATGGCATCTAGAAAAACGATACTGATTAACCCATTTGCAGAGCGGCAATGGAGACAGACATAGAGAACAGACTTATGGATATGGGTTAGGGGAAGAAATGAGAGGGTGGGGCAAACAGAGAGAATAACATGAAAACATATACACTACCATATGGAAAATAGAGAGCCAGTGGGAATTTGTTGTATGACTCAGGGAACTCTAACTGGGACTCTGTGACGACCTAGAGGGGTGGGATGGGGAGGAAGGTGGGAGGGAGGTTAAAGAGAGAGGGGACATATACAGTCGATTCATGTTGATGTTTGGCAGAAACCAACACAATGCTTTAAGGCAATTATCCTTCAATTAAAAATAAATTTAATTTAAAAATTTTAAAAATGTTTTCTGCTTCCTATATTTTATTTTATAACTTAAAACCACAGAATATGGCATGACAAAAATAATATGCCTCTCCCTGAGCAGCCTCATGGGAGTACGCCTGGATCATTATTCCAACACAGGATCCTCACCCTGAGGATGTATTGAACCAGTGAACTGATGAGTTTATGCCAGAACTACCTAAGGAATAGATGTCACTATTTCTTTTGGTTTTCACTTTACTTGCAAAGACAAGATGTTTCCTTTGAGTCTTGCTCATAGTGTTTGCTTCTTCTTCTGGGAAACACGAAAGACATAGATCTCAAAGCTACAAAAGGCATCCAGGGAGACTAAGATGTTCTTAAGGGATCATCTCGCTGGATGGGGCCCAAAGGCCTATCTTGAGCCCTAGTTCCAAACAAGAAAATGATCTGAATTTCAGAGTAAAGAGAACTCTGTTTTGACATAAAGAAAAGGCAGATTATGCAGAGGCAGACTTGTTGAAATCTCACTTTATGAAAATGACAGTTACGGCTGCTGCTCTTATATTTATAAAATACAGTGTTTAAACAGTTGACAATATTACCTATGGGAAGTAGTGTCTTACCAGATTCTTCTTCCTTTCCAGAGGATCTATTTTGATCTGATTATAGAAATAATGCAAGCAATTAAAAGGGCCTCCCCTTTCCAACACAGGGGCAGACATGCAGAGAAGCCCTCCCCGGTAGAGATCCGCTGATGACGCTGGGTAAAATTAAAATGGGATTTTAGGGTTTAAGTGGGCTGGATGTTTAGAAAGGGTAATAAGCTGAAGCGAGGAATAGAGAGG